CTATAGTTTAGCAAGCTATTTCATTGCCTTTTATCAGATCTCCTCAATTGAACGATTATATGAGTTTGACCGTACTAGGCATAAGAACGTCGCCCTTAGTGATTGCTTTCTACTGTAGCTACCTTCATATATTACTCCATCAGATCTCCAGGCAAACATCGAAAACCCGTTTTTCTTCGGATAAAAGCATTAGTTTAGCTTTTGCAGCATATGTATAACCAGTAGAATAAATCCGGTGGTTTGTGTGCTACAAACCCTCCGTGTGTGGCGCTTGTTGCCTGGTCGTTTACGTCTGTCAGCCTTTTATGTCCGATCCCACCTCGGGTCTTTTCAAGTCTGCCTTGGCACCGGGCTTCGGTGGATGAGGGAGGGGAGAGTGCGGTAGAAGCACTGCAAGGCTACATTCACAGTAAATTAATTCACGCGGGTAGGTCGTCCTTCCGGCGTTTGCCCTGTAGTAGGATACACGGCAAACGTAGTCGGAGACGACCCCCGAACTCTAATAAAATTCACTGGGGTTACCTGCATGTTTATCCTACAGTTTAGTTTCCTCCTAGACAGCCCTATCATTCTGTTGTCCATCGCAGCGCGTAGCTTTCTCGTCGAAGAGTCTTCTTTCCACTAGTGTGGATACACCATTTATACGGACTGTATATTGCTTATCATAGTAACTTCTTTGATTCCTATATTCTTGAAGTCAATTTTGTGAAAGTTAAAGGCCTTTTCCTACCGGCGTCAAGCAATACGATGATATGTTGTTCACATGTTACTTTTTTATTTCACAAAATTTATGCGCCTCTACAGGTAAGCCAAGGCGGCGGCACAGTCACGCTTATTCGAATTCGAAATCCGTGGGGCAACGAGGCAGAATGGAATGGTCGCTGGAGCGACCGATCTAGAGAATGGCAGTCGGTATCGGAACAGGCGAGACGCGAGCTGGGCCTGACTTTCGACTCCGATGGAGAATTTTGGTTTGTTTATTTACGTAATAATACTGCTTTTCTGCCACACGAGTACCTCTTTCATCACTTGTTAAAGGAAATTATGTTAAGTCACTGTATTACGCCTTGCGAAACGCATTTCGCCGAAAAGACTCAGCTTTTATCTAAGTCGCTCGTTTACACCAAGCCAACTTATATCATTTTGACCTGCGGTCAGGATCCGGTTGCTTTTATTTGTAGGAGTTATCTTCCTCAGCCAAATTTTCTTCCACGCAGGGTCTTGCAAGTATTGCACCATGAGTATTGCAAGTCCTCACACCATTAACCTCTGAGCTAGAATATGTTCTAGTTCATCATACACGTTAAAAGCACGTTTGCATTTCTTGACTCGTGCCTCCTCTTGTAAATTACACTCAAAGTCAGGAATTTGATGCATAGCCTGTTGCAGTCCTCTACATATCACGCACCATACACCTCATGCCTCTATTATGCTTTTCTGTGACTGTTTCTGATGA